CCAACTTTCTGTGACCAGTTACTTCAGCAGTAATCGTCCCATTGTGTTGTATGAAGTAGTAAAATATCGGTGATACTTCTTGGGGAACATGTCCAACAATTTCACCACATTGTACAATTCCGATGGCGTATCTGTCATGCTCATTTCCACTCTCGGGTCTTGTTTCTAGCACCTCACCTAAGACTGGAGACCAAACAATCTTATAAACATGATGGCCTCTGATCACACTAGAAAAATTAAAGGTGACGGCCATATTGATAATCGTTAATAGCCACACCCATATATAATTATTTATTTTATACGTGCATAGAAATAACTCGATTACAAGCGTGCCTTCACTTTTAAGCGCACCATCACTTATAAGCGCATGTTTCTTTCCTGTGGGGATATAAGCTCATGCGCCTATATCTGAAATTTTACGGTATGCAAGATTAATACCTTTTCCTAGCTGAAAACCTCCACTAAGTATTGCAATTTGATTGCAAGCATAGCTAGCCTATAGGTGGGTAAAAATACTTGCTGTTCCCAGTTCTGAGATCTGAGCATGTGCGACCACGCCCAAATTATGGAGCACATGCTTCTTTAATTAACAAAATGGCAGCATGAGGTAAGCTGGTGCGATCCAACAGTTACTGTATCATTCTTCCTGTCTTGGAGAATGATTCTAGGGGACAAGGACCTGCGCATACCCTATTGGAGTAGAATGGTGTAATAATTAGCCTTCTATCACCAGGCAAGATCGATATATGGATCGACAACTGGACTGACAAGAGATCATGATGATGATGATTATGAAGATAAAAAATTGTCGCTGAACAAAATGGCCGGTTTGCAGATTTTATTTTTCTCTCAAAAAAGTCTAGAGCCACGCTAGTGGTACCATTGGAGTCCTCTGGTCAAGATAAGGTCCTCTAAGAAGTTCGGTAAGCATAGGAGCTCGTTCTCCCGCTATAGCAAGGTTGCAAAAGTCGTGGCAGCCATTTCCTTTGGGGGCAAATCCGACTTAGTAACGCTACCATGTTAGAAATAAAGTACAATGGTTCGTATTTTACTCTATACATTATAATATTTAGTCAGTAATGGTCCCTGTAACACAAAAGTTACTTTTGGTTTTAGTCAAACCATTGGCATGCGTTGATAAGAAAAACCGTATCAGATCCATCAGCCCTTTTAGTGCAAAATTCTTTGGCTACATTACTAGCAACACATGCTTTCCCATTGCTCTTCAAAATCTGCATTGCTTTTACTCATAAAATCAAGAAATCTATGGCACCTCTGTTTTCATTGAATTACCGCCTACTGTACTGAAGTTACTGTTAAATTAGAAGAGGGTTCATTGGCATTGCTACAGTTAGTTCGTCAGATAATTGTAGTGATTCTAACCCCTATACTACAGTAGAATCAAGTTGTCATTCAGCTAGCATAAAATGGTCTTGTGACATAGTAGGTGTTAGCATTACTTTATCTTTTATTTGACAGTGCTGGGTGTGTTTGTCTTGCGAAAAAATTGGCTTTATTTTTAATATATTTTTTTCTATTATTTTAAAGGATAGAAAAAGTTGTACTACTGTTGTGGCTTTTACATTTCTTCTAAGCATATGGACCATGAAACTTCAAATGATTTAAAATACTCGCATAATTTTGTATGTTTATGAACTTACTTTTTGTAGTTGCTTGGCAAATTCATCTCCCTTTTTTCATTGTAGGCTGTCTTGTAATTGAAGCCCACGTTTTGCCTAGTGTATAGCAGCTTAATTATGTGAGACATGGATTTTATATTAAACAACCACGAAATTGCCATCTCACGACATACAAATCTTTTTTATATTACCTAATGGAAATCTCTTTTGATTGCTAATTCTATTAATTTTGTGCTATGATTTGAATGTTGTTTTCAAGGAAGCTACAGCAGTAATGTTTACCAATGATTATACTTATTATACTAATAAATATAGTTACAATATTTATGAATATCATTAATTCTTTTATAAATATAGTTTATCCTACTTATTTGTAGTAATAACAACAGGTTAATCCACATGAGAAATAGGAAGTCTTACGACTTTTGTGACTATATTCTTGTCTTGGTGGCAAAAAA